GCCAGCGAAAGCGGCATGGATGGGCTGTGAAGTCAAGTTGTTGGGGTGCTGCGAGCTGAAAAAAGAGTGAGGGGCAAGGAGAGATGGGGGTTGGTAAAGAGAAACCGATCTCGGTGCTCAAGACCTTAGAAATTCGGATGCTTGTGATTAGGTGGTAAAATAAAACCAGCACTCATTTTTAACGAGAGCGGCCAAGCAGAAAGCAGAAGAATTGACATTACACGCAGAAGGGTGTTAAAGATTGCCTAGCCTGACCTCTTGCGCCTCCCAAAAGCAGGGAAGGGAAGAAAAATGACAGAAAATATCCCCTTACTTTAAAAATCCCTCTCGGTTGTGTTTTCCAGGTGGAGTGGAAAACCATTTTACTTCTGTTAATCTGCATCTGAAAAGCCATTGTATTCCTTTTCCTTTTCTTTTGCAAAAATATTTCCTCCAGAAAAGAACGTGCCCCTTCCATACGCCCCTGGGATGGACACCTCCGCCTTAACAACGGGAGAAGAGAGGCAGCTGTGCAGCTCTCATTTAAGCATCACTGCCACATGCTCCTGTGGCTTTTATTTTTGTCTTTGCTCCCTCACTTGCCTTCTGCTTAATAGAAGGTACCTCTTCTTGTCCTCCCTTTCAGCTGTGAAGCCTTCAGGACAGCGACCTCCCCTGTAAGCCCCTCTACACATTTATACTGCTGGTAACTAAGAGGGAAGCCAAGGAGCCCCTGGTGAGCGGGGACAGCAGTTTGTGTCACTCCAAATGCCAAGTGCTGACCTGCAAAACGCAAACCGAAGTTGAGACCGGGGAGTTCAGCTTTGCCAGGTTGAACTGCAGCCCTCCATGAAACTCCCACCGGCTCTTCTTCCCCGAGGAAGGCAAAGAAACCTGCCCCCCCTTCCCCCCCGCCAAATTCTCATGGGTTTTTACTCAGAAGCATGGAAAAAAACAATTAATGAAGGCATGGTCTGCTGCAGTTAACGTGTTTCAGTAAGTTTTTGTACTCGGGCTGGTTTAGCAAACTAAGCCGGCACCCCCAAGCTGCCAGCAAAGCCGTGCTGCAAATTCAAAGGGGTTCTCGTGCCAAACACTGGTCTGACCGTGCGCGAGGCTTTCTCTTCCCAAAGTAACTTCATGCTTTGAAGCTGAACAGCAGAACAAGGCCAGAGATGAGACCAAAACATCCAGAACATCAAGGGAAACCAAAGAAGTGGTTAAATGTGAACATCAAGAAAAAGGACAAAAAAAAAAAAAAGGACATGAAAAAGGGTTTGTCAC